GATCCAGTAAGGTCGACATCGCCAGCATGCGAGCGCTTTCGATATTTGTGAAGCGGCGTCTCATCTGGTAACTAAGGTTAGAAACCAGGGGTGTGTCCTTTTCTGTAATCGCACCAGTCAAACGCTGTAGTGATTCCGCCAGAGGTATCACCTTAGAAATGGAGAAATGCTTGTCCGCAGAAATCTCTTTGGTCGTTGCCTCAAAGGGTTTCCAAACGGCCATGGCAGCTTTCAGCAGGCTCACATCAGAAGATGAAAGACACATTGCTTTACGACCAGAGAGACAAAGTGCCGTGGTAATGGCTTGATGTTGCTCCGTGATGCGTTCAAACATGTAGTAAGTTTGAGTTCCATCTAGTTTCCACTTCTTGGATGAGTTTGTTCTCAGGAATTCCCAGCTGCAGTTGTATCTCCTTCAGCTTTTCTGAGGCCTTAACGCTGTGGTGGAAAAAGCTCACAATGTCCCTGCAGCTCTTTCTAAGTTGATGGATCATTGTGTCAGGGTCTGTGCAAAGTAAGGGACATGTGTCCAACTAGTGTGTCTGACGGCGGCAACAACGTTGGCAGCATTGTCAGTAACCATTGCAACAACTTTTCGGGAAATTCCCCATTCTTCCGCAACTTTTTGGAATGACGCCGCAATGTTCTCAGCCGTGTGGTCTTTTTTGAACCCAAACGTCTCTAGAACCAGGGACGTGAGTTCCCATGTAGAAGTAACAAAGTGGCAGGTGATAGTAAGATAACTTTCCGTTGTTCTTGATGTCCAAAGGTCACTAGTCAGAGCTACGTGAGAAATCTGCAGAAGTTCCCGCTTTATCTCTCCGGCACGGGTTGTGTACATATCAGGTTGCAAACTTCTCATTATGTGCCTTCTGGAGGGCAGCTGGTACCGAGAATCAAGCAAACACACCAGCGACTGAAATCTGGTGTCCTCTACAATGGTTGCTGGTTGCATGTCTATTGCAATCATTCTTGTAAGGGCCTGATCAATGTTCTTGCTTTGCGCATGTCGGCGAACACTTTTGCCAAGTTTGTGCCATCTCCGATATGGTACGCTGCCGCAGGTTGTCAGCGGTCCTACGCCTCTTGGATACTTTTTCTTCCTCCTCTTTCCTCAGGTTTTCAGCTTCCTTGTGCTGAGCCGGGTGTTCTAATTTCAAATGCTATAAAAGAAAATATGAATAATCTTCAATTTATGATAAAATATTAAAAAGCCCTTCAAACTTCAGTGGACAATACCTTTAATAAATTTGACGTGTTGTTTGCATGCTTCACAACATCAGAGCAGATAGTGCATTGTGAGGTTCCCACAACTTCGGTAGACCTTGTAAAGAAATGCCACACAGCACTCCTCAGGCGCTTTCCTGCATCAAAGTTTCCTGACGAAGAAGCGTTCGCCTCGAGGTCACTGTTAGCAAAAATTACATTTCAGTTGTGAATCGCTTTCGGGATAGACTTGGTTATCTACAACAACTACAACTATAGTATGTACTAAAATATAATGGAGACTTACGGCGCTTCCATTGGCACTTGAGAATTAGAAGTGACCTCTGAAACGTCTGACATACTTCCCAGAAACAGTTATGGACATGTGAGTCAAGCTTAGGAAACGGAAGCAAGATTAAGGGCGTATTTAAATCGCAACTCACTGACGTTGATCAGTTCACTCTTACAGCGCTCACATTGTTATTCGCTGTCGTTGCTGCGATTCGTAGAGTACCAGCAAATTAACGCTCTCACGATTCACCAAAAATTATCGTTTCCATAACAATATGGACGAAGTAATGTTCAGGTGCGATTTTCCTGTGGGAAATCATACTAGACAGAATTTGCTGTCGTCTCATGCTTATCTATCATTGTTTTATTATTATTTTTTCTTCAAGTCAGTAACCTTTCTCAGTGCTTTTCTCGCTCGAGGTTTTTCTTTAATAAGCAAGCATAGTAGTTTGCAACTCATTTTTGTTACTCCAGATATGTCCTTGTAATGCCTGGATTGTTGTGAGTTGTGATTTTGTTGCCGTTGTGTTGAGTGACTTTACATTTACAGTTTATTAAGTCGGGTCTGTTGCTCCAATATCATTCTTGTCCTATGCACGTGCAGCAGCCAGTATGGATAAATAAACTCGTTCCAGTCACCTCTCGGAAAAATGCACAGCAGAAGTGAATTATATTTGTCACCTTCACCGAAAAATTGCGGAAAAACCGGGCCTATCATTTCACCACTTTGATGTTTTTCAAAACGTTTTAAGTGGTTTACCACAACATTGTTGTGGGGTCATAAGAGCAGAACATTCTTTTCGTATTCACCGACTACTTTCTGGAAATAGCGGGTACTTTACACTCTTGGATAGGATTTTCAATTCTGGTATCACAAGCTAACAGAGTAGTTTTTGTTTATCACAGCCCTAAAACTCGAAAACTAGCATGGTGACCCCAACTTTTTATTTTACATTTTGGATTAGCTTAGTGTAGTTAACAATTGGGCAAAGTTAAAAAAAAATGCCATAACACCTTTTTCGATGGAATCACCTTAAAACTATTTTAATCAGACAGTATGTCTTTTTTCCTCACTGCATACATACAGAATGAAAACAGTTAGATAGTTTTCGTATGCGAATGAAAATTTGCAATTACTATAATCAGTAGACTCTAAATTTTTTGTTCATTATCAACTGCTACAAACTAAATAGTTATTTTTCATTCAAGGGCAAATGAAAATAGTGGTTTTGATTAGAGTGATTTACGTAAGCCAGGGTCTACTGATGAATTACATTGTTATTAGATGCTTAATGCTTTGTGACCTTTTGTTTCTTTACATCTTTTAGAGTGATATTCATTTGCCCATGAAATAAAGAAATGACTATTTAGTTTGTAGAAAAATTCACCATACAACACTAACTATTAATTACCCTATTCTTTCACAGAAAATGAAAATTACTCTGAACACTACCAGTTAATTAGTACTCACCAGGTTTAGTGAAACCATTCTAACCAGTGAACCAAAATGTATTAACTAAAGTATACTCGCCCAGTAACTCCAAATGGAAACAAGCAAATTGCCAGGTAATAGTACAAAATATGCTAAAGTGTATGTCACACATTCATGAGAACCACTCCAACAACCCCATAAAATTAGTAGTTCTTCTGGTAATAACCTTGGGTGGTGACTTTTTGTTTTTCTTTCGGTCAAGTGTCATCACCCTAGCACTTGGGGCTGTTCTTAATTAAAAGCTATCTCAGCCTGAAACTTTTGTGAACCAAGAAAAAGAAAACAAGAATACAGCCTATTTGGCAAATGACTCACCCCACTACAACCCTTAACCCACAAAACAAAATTCAATCAAGTCATAACTCAAAAAAGAAAAAAAAAACTAATGGAAATAGTGTCGGGTAACAAGTATTGAAATAATAGCCATTAATGTATGGCACTAATTCCCCAACAACATCCCAGAGAAGGGTCTTTACACTACATGGCAATTGCTGTTACAGGATAAACCAATAGTTGCACAAAAAACTTAGGTACATGCAGGCACAAAGAAAAAACAGTTTCTTTCCAACAAAAAGCCTGAGTGAACACAAATATGCATCTAGTTAATACTTCAATAATATACATGGAAAATTACTCAGTTCTGATTGGTTAAGATAAATGCAGTTCTCAGGTAATTCAATGCAGAAGAGAGTTAATTCAGTGCAAAGAAAGTAACAAATCAGACATTCTGATTCGTAGATAATCAAAGAAACTCACAGATAGCCAATCAAATGCGAGCCTTGGATGTCGCAACAAAATTTGAAAATTTGAAAATTTGAAAATTTGCGAGCGAAACAATGGCCGGCGTTTTAAGTAGGCTTTCAGTAAGTAGCACTGCTTTTTGGTTGTCGGTTGGAAAAAGTGGTGTTTAGAGAAAGCAATTGCCGAGGAAATCGAAAATTACGAGCCGACCCAACTTAACACTTTGCTCGAGCGATCCAACGCCGAAATTAAAAGCAAACATGGTTAAACCTCGGAAACGACGATTCCATTTCATCGAAAGTAATTTGGACACAGACTGAACAATTCCTTGAACTGTTTAGCCGGACTTTGAACTTTTTTGCACCTTAAAGATGTGAAGATATCATTGCATAATTTATTATTGTTTTGATCGTACGCGGTTGTTTTGACCGAACGCACGGTTTGAATAAATTATTTTTGCACTTGATGCGCGCTTTGCTTATGTTTAATTATGATAAGCCATCTCGTATTTTTCCATGTATATTATTAACACGTAATCACATGATTGTTCTCGTGCAATTTGGAATAAACAAGCACTTGTTAATTTTTTCAAAGACCACAAATTGCACTCGCCCTACGGGCTCGTGCAATTTTGTTAGTCTTTAAAAAAATTTACTCGTGCTTATTTATTTCAAATTGCACTCGAAATCATGTGATTACCTATACAAATTACATGGTTTTTTAATAACTACTTTTACCCTTTAACTCTCAAGATCTGATTGTTAATTCTCCTCTCTAGCTACTGCATAGTTTGTTGTAAGTTTGTTACATGAATTTGGTGTTAGGTAGATCCAGATGACAACTTCTACCTAATAAGTTTGAGTATTCTCGTTACCTGTTCACTAGAGAATATTTATAGGGAGAAGTTACATATTAATCGCTGCTGGGAGTTACAGGGCTAATTAACAGTTTTTTTTTTCATCACAAATTACAGTTGGTACCCTAGCTGCTACACAGTTCCTTGTATGTTTGTTACCAGAATTAAGTATTTAGCTCGTTCCCTACATTCTGTTCACTTGTTTGCGAACTCTTTTCGGGGGAAGATCCTTGGGTGGAGAAAATGTATCTGTCAACCTTTTCAACTCCCTTTCTGACACAGACAGGCTTGTGACTGAAGTGACAAAAAGAAACAGCAAATATAATGTCTCACAACATGGGTCAAAACAGATTATACTGGACTTGTTAAATCTTTGTCTTGGAGAAAATAAATTTAAGTATGAATTACCAAACATTCAAGGCAACTGAGCACCCTTTTAAACAACCTACACGTACAAGCAGCCGAACTACACGTGGTAAACTATAGTAGTACAAACATTCTGAGAACTGAAAGATAGGAGGTCCAAAGAAAATGTCATACAGGTTCTAGGACTGTTTTCCATCAATCAGAAAAAGAGCAGTTTAATAGCTCAAACGTTTTCTCTTCAGTTAACCACGGCCACACTTTCAAATAAATCCTTCTCTCAAGTTCTGTGACCAGTTTCACCATTTTGCAAATGACAAATGCATCGGCGTTTGAACTTCTAAATTTTAAAGCAACCGAAATAATTCTGAGAAAACTAGAAGGTTTTCTTCATACCTTTACGCCGTTTTGTTCTTGTTGCTGCAAGAAAAGAAGAAATATATATTTTATGATCATGTAAGGAAGAATCTACTTCCACCTACTCAAACAACAGAATCACTAGGCAGTGATGAAAATGGAAAACCAACTGGTAATTGACATGCACAGGCAAAACTTCCAGCAAACATTCTACGTTTGGATACCCTCTATGCATGACGAGTATATACGCACTGAAAAATGGAATTTAGTTATTTACATCTTTTTGTAGCTTTTCTGGGGGCAGTGCCTTAGGTACACCCTTTCTTCCTAGAATTCGCTGTTTATTCTGTTGTTGTGACCTTACTCAATTAATTGATAACTCAGATCTTTCTTTAACCTTCACTTATTTCAATCATTTGGCAGTAGGAAGAATCACCGTTCGCAACATGAAATGCGCAAAACTTTTTATTTACTAGTGCTATCTCTCCAGCAGTATTATAAAATCAAATAAACAAATTCGCTAAATCCGCTTCACCAGGAACCACCAAATATAAACACAGGCATGCCTAGCATGCAAGAGTTATTTTTTGGGCTAGGTTGGTTGAGATGGGACAGTTTGTGTAATTAATGTTTTCATTTTTGTCACCAAAAAGAGCATAACTTTCAAAAACCGAAAATATCACAGAAAGACAGAAAAAAAACCTAATTTATCTGAACTCACACAGATATTATGTGATCTACTGTCTCTATTGTCCAAATAGAGACAGTGGATCACTATAACGTTAACAAATGATTCATTTCCTATACTTTCAACAAAAATATTTTCGCAAACCAAGTATAATATGATTTATCTCAAAAACGAAATTCTAGCTTTCTCATCTTAGGCAGTGTTCACACTTGGTGCCCGGGCACTAGTACCCGGGCACCGGCACAAAATGGTGCTGTGTTCAGACACAGGGTACCCAGTCTGAAGATATGTTCACATTCAATAAACAGAGCACACGCTCACTATTGAAATCTCGAGTGGGACAAGGAATTGTGGGTACGAAAACAAGTGGTTTGTGGGTAAAGTGACAGGGCACCAACGAAAAATGTGTCCACACAAGGACTCAGTGCCCAGTTTAGTGCCCGAGTACAAGGTCGAGACCTTGTACTCGGGCACCGGCACCGTGCCCGAATTCTGGCGTGGGTACCAGGAAAAAAGGTGTGTTCACATTGGTGCCCGGCATAGAATAGAACCCGGGCATGGTGCCTGGGCACCAAGTGGGAACACTGCCTTATACTGCTTGAAGTAGCATGAATATTCTCCCAAAATTATGGTAGGAAAATTATAGCTGCCTCGCATGTAACACACGTATCACTTTTTTGCATCATTTTATCGTGCTGTGGTTCTTCCAACTTGCCTTATTCCTAAACAAAATTATTCTAGGGTCATAACACCAAAAATATAAAGTAACTGAACAAATGACCAGAAACAGAGAACAAGCAAAAAGAAATGCAACACAAGGCGCAGGTTATTAACAAGGTGTTTTTAATTTCTATCTTTCTTTTTCCTCTTTTATCTAATTTTTTAATACTTCAATTCAACTTTGTTTGTTTGACTCTATGATCAAAATATTTTTGGGAGCTGAGGACAGCTCCATATGAGTTGGGAGAATATGTTAAAAGACAAAATTGGCATCAAGCAAGAATTTTCTGTATATGTGTTTAAATTAGGTTATTTAAGTTTTGGAATATGAATGGAAATTGAATATTAGCATAAGCCATTCATTTAAAAAAATATTGTGAACAGTTGGTAATTTCCTATTTCAATGGCAGTCTTACTTTTTAAGTAAAGTAATTGTTATATTTTCTTTTGGGAAGAAAATAGATTATGGCAAATTTTATCCAGCTGCATACAATGTATACAGTCGGTTGAGATTAGAACACTTGATTAGAACACTACTTACAGCTTCCCTCAGATATATCCTTTGTTTTGTTCCAATAACAACAACAGAAATAGACAGGTATGCCAAGAGCAATGAAGATCAGGGCCATGGCAGACTCCTTAGGTTTCTGCCAGAATGGAGTGATCAGCAGATATTCTGCTGCCAGGTCAGAAACAATTGGAATAATCAACCAGACCTGTTCCAAATAGAATAATGATACTAGTCAGTATTACAAGAACCAGGATTATAATTTTCCTTGTCAACATAAACAAACAGTCATACTGGAGCCAAGCATGAGATTTGGCAGATAAAGGGCTGAGGCAGGTTTGTTCAATACAGGGTTCATTTGTAAAAAAAAAGGAGACATGAATCACTTTTGTTTAATGCAGCTATATATTATTATTTTGCACCATTTATGAGGCACTGAAAATTGCCCTTTATCCTCTAGCCCCTAAAGAGACAAGCATTTAATTTCTCCTTACAATATCACCTCTGAATCAAACATCACTCTCACAGGAATCAAGGAAATAATCACTAACTTAAGAGGCTCTTGATTGTTAAAAAATTATCTGGCTTACATTTTAAAAACAACATTAACTAAACTAATCAAAGTACCTTGTATGGTCTCTTAGCATCTGGACTTTTCCACTTCAGGTAGATCATAGCTGTCATGACCACAAAGTACAAGAGCCATACAACAGAGCTGAAGTAGTTGACAAATGTGCTGAGCTCACTGGAGTCAGGAATCAACATAATCATGGCAATGACATGCTACAATTCAATCAAAGAAGCACAAATTAAATGGAAGTTGTAACATATTTTGGGGTGATACTATTACCTTTATACAAGGGGGTGCTTTTTCAAGCAACAGACATTGGTGTTTAGGTGAGTGAATGGGTATCAAACCTGATTGGTTCTATCACCTTTAGAAAGAATGGATGGTTTAGTTGCTCAATTTTTGAGCCTGTGGTTTTTCTATTTTGTGCCCTTTTTAACAACATCTAACTCATCATAAAATACGTACAGCAGCTCTTCTCTCAGAGAAGTGTTATAAAAGGAAAAACATCTTTCAGTTAGCAGTCCTTATTACTCAGAGCTCAAGCCAAAATGTCATACAAACTTTGTTGGGGCAGCACCTCTAAATTCTATGATGCATGCATGTACAAAAAACTTACCAAGAAAATGATGGAAGGCATAGGAGTATGACAAGTCTTGTGAACCATGGCAAGTGCTTTGGGCATTTGACCATTACAAGCTGACACAAACACCAACCTATGGACACAGCAGATGGTCAGTGACCAAACTGTACTACATGATGGCAATTAATTAACTGTAAGGTTCAAATTTTGTGTTGATAAATTTGAACCTCATCTTCTACCCTTCTTCAGCAACCTTTCCAGAATTTGAACTTTGGAAGATTAGTTTGTTCAAATCCCCCCCCCTCCCCACCCCCAGGCAAAAATTGTGTTCAAATACCTCAGCCAATTGGTTTTTAACAGGAAAAATCAGCAGCCGTGACTTTCTTCTATTGACCATGCTAAAAAACACAGACGTCAGAGATATTTTCTTCTGAGTCAATCACTCATGAAAGTAAACAATTTACCTTAAACACCCCCTTATTTTAAGACTTAACACTTGTATTCCACTGGAAAGAGAACACACTTCTGGTTCAAATTGCCCACCCCCTCAACACCAATGACAGTCAAAAGCCATTGGCTTGCCATGAAAGGGCGGGGGGAGGCAATGTTGAAGCTTTGAACTGTTGGTGCATTACTGTTCGAGCCAGTGGCAAAGATTAACAAATTTGAATCAAGAAGATGAAATATTGTACAACTTAGAGGAAAGTGCTGAAGGAAGGTCAAGTTAGATTTCTTTTACTTTAAATTTACATGTTTTATCAATTCCTTGCAAAGGGCATTAGGCTGCATAGAGGTGCAACTGTTTGCTTGAGTGATTTTTGTTGTACCATTAACTTGTAGCATACACTTGCAAAAACTGAAAAACTGAGCATTTGACTTACTTTGCACCACTGAAAGCCAGTCCATTTACACAACCAAAGGTGAAGCATGCAGCAAAGATGGGAATCAAGCAGGAAACAGGGCCCATCTTTTCCTCTCTAACAACCTGCACATTAAACCAACATGTTGTTCAACTCAATCTCATATTCTCTAAATGGCTACAACCCTTCCTTCAAGGCCCTTATGCTCTACAAACCTCAACCTTCGCAGTTGTCCATAAGCCCTGGTCTAGCAAAAACTGGGCGTTGGCTCAAAACCAGTCACCAGCAAGTTACATTACATTGTGGTTTATTTTGAAGAAATTAGGAAAGATGAAAAAAAGTAAAAATTCAACTCTTGTTGATCAACCATGAATGATATGAATGAATGAATTTTTATTAAACAGATAACTGTTTTCCTTGCTGTGAAAACTGCCTTGTTTTACCCCTAACCCAACAAAAGTGCTACATGCATTTGTTCAAGATGAAAAATGAGTCTTTTGAGCATTATTGTGTGTAATACTCACCATAGCCACAGTTCCTGAGCTTAAAATGCCGTGTCCTCCAACAACAGCAATGTAGGCAATGTTAGTCAACAAGTAAACGATGGTTACCAGAGGGATTCCAATCATGAGAGCCCTTGATAAATCCCTGAAGATAACAAAAATAATGTTGTTGATGACTGAAACCACTTAATATCATTTCTCTTAAGATTCCTGTTATACAATCCTCCTAGAAAATTCAATCATTCACACCCTTGCAGAGTAAAGCTTACCATGTGACAAAACATTTGGTAATCAAACTGTTCAAGACAAATCAAATAATACAGGTTCAACTATATTCTATTTCAATAAATATAACGGAAAGATGCAATGGCTTAAAAGTTAGTGTGCTGAGCTCTGAGTCAAAGAGGTCTGGGTTCAAGAGCTGACCAAGTCACTGTGATGTGTTCACGACCAAGACTCTTTACGCACACAGTGCCTCTCTCCATCCAGGAGTATAGATGGGTACTTGCAAACAGTCTGAGGAGCCTGATCTAATGCAGGTGGGTACCCTTGGATGGACAAACATCCCTACCAAGGGTGCTCCTGGTCACTTCATACCATGAAAACCTGGGCAAGCTGCTTGGCTTGACTGCTTACTCCACCTTGATACTATACATATAACTTAGGCAAGATTAGCTTCAAAAAAAGAATGACTTTCTTTACCTAGCTGGGTTCTTCATCTCTTCAGTGACAAAATTTAAGCTATTCCTGCAGAATGGAGGAAATTGAAATCAATCAACAAACAAGTTCGACAAAAACATGACAACCAGTTAGAATATTTTCATGGTAAAAATGCTCACACAAAGAAAGTTCTACACAAAAACATACCATCCATCATAAGCCCAGAGGCCTGAGTAGAAGGCCAATCCAATATTTGCCAAGTTTGAAGTAGTTCCATGAAAAGATCCCTTAAAGTTGTCAGCATTGCCTATTGAGAAATCATATCATCAGTTTCTGTGCCAGTGCAAATATACATAATGCAAAAATAAAAATCATATATCAAGGTCTAAAATAAGTAAAGAGCAATTTCTTTCTCCCCTGCTTCTTTAGAAAATTGCCTTAAATCAATTTCAGGAATTTTTACCCTAAAATAAAGTTTATCTTCCCAACACATATTGGTATTTTCATGCCTGAAGGTCCTCAAACTCTTACACAAAACACAACAGAAAAAAACATTTCAACTCAAGTTGCTTGGAATAAAATCAAGAAGTTAAACTGTTTGTAGTTAAGGTGACTAAGAGTGACTGGCATCTAGTTTCATTTTCTCTTTACAATAACACCTGAAAAAAACATTAAGATCATGAGAATCAAGGGGATGGTCACCAACTAAAGAAGCTCTTGATTGTCAAACAAATTTTCCTTGTCAGCACCTTACAAAATGTGTAAAAAACAGTAAGGTAAATATATATACTAATGTTAGGGTGTAAAGGTTTAGATACAAAATTATCCTTACCTGATCCAACCTCAATGAGGCCAATCACAATCAGAATAACAAAAGCAATAAACTTTCCACAAATGACAACTTTCTGAATGTGCATAGCCCATTTAACACTTGCACAGTTCATAAACATGGTCAGAACTACAACAAATATAATGAAGATTAGAGTTTTTTCTTTGTAAATGTTGATGTTAATCTAAGAACAATGATATTGCCACAACAAGTTGGCCTATCAGGCAGCAAACAAAACTCATAAAAATTATTTTTATGCCATTAAATTTTTCTATGTGCTTGCATAGGCACTATTTCAGCTTGAAATGATGATTGTAGCTCTGTTTATGATTTTTTTTTAATTGAATTTATGCTCAATTTCAAAGGAGGAAAGGGTTTGATAGGGTTCAACTATCTTTCCACACGAATGAACATTTGACACTGGTTCCCCAACATTTTTTCACATGCAAATTAGGTAGACACAGGGCTGATGCAATTATACAGAATAATTTCTGCCATTCAATATAAACAAAAGACCAGAAGGTATGATAAAATAAATTAAAATCGTCATTGATGATATGGTCCTAGTGCAGTAAAGCCCAGGATAATGAATAGTAACTAATTTAAACCCAGAAGATTTCAATTTGAGATCGAAATCACAATCACACTAGCACAATAAGAACAATTTACATCAAAGAACAGAGGTTGTTAAATCACAATTAACTAAAGATTAACGTTTTTTTTCCACCCCAAGATAGCCCTAAGGATATGATACTCACCCAAACATGTAGCTGCTAAGATCTTTCTGACAGGAATCGGACTGATTTCGCAGTCAGGGAAGAAGGGCTGACTAACATAACGTGCGAATGTTAAAGCTACGACACTCATTGAATATGGGCGAATGATCAAAGCCACCATCCCACTGTAAAGGAATGCTGGTAGAGGACCAAAGGCTTTGTAGAGATAAGAATACTCAGCACTGGATTTAGGAATCATGTTACCCATTTCACAGTGGAAGAGGGAGCCAAGGAGCGCAAGAATACCACATCCTGCCCAGATGACCAAACTCATTCCAACCAAATCGGTCCATGTGAGGACACCTTTGAATGAGATGAAAATGCTAGAGCCGATAATCACACCTACAACAAGAACAATGCCATTTAGAGGGGTAACTTCCTTTTTAAGGCCAACTTGTACATTGACTTCAACGGCTGGAAGAGCATCTCTGTTCATTTCTGTGTCATGATCGCTGGTTGGGGGCCGAGCAGTGGCCACTTCATCTTCCTTCGATGCCATTTGTACAACTTTACTTGTGAGCTTCTAAAGAGACTGAGCTTTGTTAGATTCCTAAGGAATGATAATAAAACCTTACATCAGCTGGGTCAATCTATGAATCCTGAATAAAGCATGGGGCCCCAATAATTTATAGCAGTGCTTAAGGGCTTCTCTGGCTTCCACGTGTCTTGCTCAAAAACAGAAAATTTTACTCTAGAAAGTAGTTTGATCGAAATTGGGATACAAAGATACAAAGAAATAAAACAAATGAAAACTCCTCGATCCCTGGAGCCTCCCATGGGAACTTACAAGACAAGAAATTTCAGACCTTTCGTCCAAAACAATTCAAACTTCTGTCTCTCTAGCTAAGAATATTCCAAGAGTCACAAGGATGTTAAGAATACTCGTCTGTGATTGGTTGCCATGTCCCAATCCCAATCGTTTGCCATGCCCCAACAGAAGATGTCAATTATAGACACTATGCTTGTGAATGTAGTAAAAATTTTAAAAGAAAGGCATTTTCTGACAGCATTTATGCATTTTAGTTCATTGTGGTAAAGTTTTCTTGATTGACAAATAATTCTGACCTCAATATCATCTTTGGCACCAGAGTAAAATTGTCTTGATATTTTGCAATAACAGTAGCCATGACCACTTGTTTTTAAAAAAAATTAGTATAGATAATCACATGATTTGGAGTGCAATTTGGAATAATTAAGCACAAGTAAATTTTTTTTAACCCTTTAACTCCCAGATCAAATATGTCATTCTCCTAACTGTCGACCATACAATTCTCATAATGTTAGTTTAGAGAATTAAGTATTGGATCAACTACATATCATACTAACAAAATTGCAAGAGCCTGTAGGGCAAGTGCAATTTGTGGTGTAATTTGTGAGATAGCTTATCATGATTATGCAAAAGTAAAGCACAGTTATCAAAACCAACAAAATTACACAAGCCCGTAGGACATGTGCAATTTGTGGTCTTTGAAAAAATTCTACAAGTGCTCTATTCCAAATTGCATGAGAAAAACCAAGTGATTACATATTAATGATATACATGACAAATACCAGATAGCTTATCATAATTATGCAGAAGCAAAGCATGTGCATAACGTGCAAAAATAATTTATTCAAACACTGGAGGTGTCATTGTGCGTTCAGTCAAAACAATATTATAATAAAGTTCGGATATAACGTGCGCTGTCATTGGTTGAAAGAGCGTGCTCTATGAGAGTATAGAGCATAGACCTGCTGAGCTAAAGCTGTTACGCCATCTGCCAAATTATACTATGCTCGAACTTTTCCGGGACTTCTTTTTAGCTTTTTTTCCGATAATTGAGAGTGAAATTTCGGAACAAGCGAGCCAGCAAGCAGCAACAAAAGAACCAAACAAACGTTTGTAAACATACCAGGCGCCGTGATTTACGTTATTAAAACGTGAGCAGATACGAAAATCCTCAAGGGAAAAACAAAATAAACGGAGCAACTTCAGAATACCCCGCAACTCATTTACATGTCATTGAATAAGAATAGCGTCTATTGTGTTAGGCCTCGATCTTCAAAGCCTCCCGACACATGTAAGTGAGGCGGACCAAACTGGCATAACTATTAAAATTCATACTTATCATGACGGTGTCTGAGCGAATATGATCATGCTGAAGTCCATCGCGGCTCGCTCATCATGGCGATCTCCGGTCATCACAGTAAAGCAAGCCTCAGAAACTACATCGGCCGCCTTTCGAGTGAAAAAATAAGAGCTTGCTCTGATATCCTTTCCAATGCGTTGAGTGGAAAGTCACATCAGTCCCTGCGGCCGAGTTTTGCGGCGCTGTCATCCCGAGCGATCTTCATGTTCCGGTGAATTCGGCTGTCGTTAATTCAAATTCGCCTTGAACAGTTTGTTTTCTACCTTGTCATGTGGAAAAACTCGCGTGTTATTATGAGCCATAATTCGGCTAAAGTTCACTGCACATTTCACTTCAAGATGCTGTATTAGAGACTTAAAAAGTTTAGCTGAACTACTTTGGTTTGTAAACTATAGCAGAATGTGAACTTTGATGGTTTTTTGAACTTTGATGGTTTGACACTTTGGACAGCTTTAGTCTTGTACAGCCAATCAGATTATTTGAACCATCCTAACAGGAATTTTGATTGGCTTATTGTAGCGTGCTTTATGAGAGTGTAGAGCATGCTGACGACACTGTTGTACGCTTTGGAAATAAATTTTGTTTTGAAAATTGAAAGTAATGCATGGGGAATTTAACGGATTCTTTATTATAAAACAAATAGAGAAGCCTCGACTGTGCTCTGATCTGTTATAAAGCACTTAGGAAGCGGCTAGAGCACTCAAGAAGTGGGGAGAAACACGAGACGTAGTCGAGTGTTTCTCCCTACACTTCTTTCGTGCTCTAGCCGCTTCCTGCGTGCTTTATAACAGAACAGAGCACAGTCAAGGCTTCTCTATTTGTTAAATATACAATGATATTTTCACAATACAAGCGTTAACCTTCTTAATAAAAATTCTACTATAGGTCTCCAATTATCTTCCCACTTAGAAGAACATTTGACACCCCTTCCAAGTGTTGTCAAATGCAAATAAGGAAGACGAGAACGTTTCAAAGTTGATGCAATAACAGAAAAAATTTTGCAAGATTTCTTGCACATCGTACTCGCACAATCAAAAAACTCTCATCACAAAGCAAAACTTACGTTTTATCCCAATTTGCTAAAGATTAGCTTTTTTTTTCTCAAGGTAACCTTAGGGGCATAATACTCACCCAAACATGTAGCTGCTAAGATCTTTTTGACAGGAATCAGACTGATTTCGCAGTCGGGGAAGAAGGGCTGATTCACGTAACGTGCAAGTTTAGAGCCACGACACTAAGTGAAGATGGACGAATGATCAAAGCGAGCGTCCAAATATAAAGAAATGCTGGTAGAGGACCAAAGGCTTCGTAGAGATAAGAATACTCAGCACTGGATTTAGGGATCATGGTACCCATTTCACTGTAGCAGAGAGAGCCAATGAGAGCGGGAATACCACATCCTGCACAAAATCATCTCTACCGATTCGGTCTTTGTGAGGACACCTTTGGATAAGATGAAAATGCCGGAGTCGATAATCACACCCAACAACAAGAGCAATGCCATTTTAAAAGGGTGACATCCTTTTCAAGGCCAACTTGTCCATTGACTTCAACAGCTGGGAGAGCATCCCCGCTCGTTTCTTTTTCATGATCGCTGGTTAGCGGCTGAACAGGGGCTGAACAGCGGCCGCTTCATCTTCCTTCGATGCCATTTTTACGACTTTCCTTGTGAGCTTCTAAAGAGACTGAGCTTTTACATGGCTGTGCTTTGTTAGATTCCTAAGGAATGTTAATAAAACCGTACCTCAGCTGGGTCAATCTATGAATCCTGAAATGAATCAGGTTTCCACGTGTATTTCTCGGAAACGAAAAATTTCATTAAAAAAGGTAGTTTGATGGAATTCGTGATACAAAGATCTTAAGAAATATAACAAATTAAAACTCTTCAATCCCCGGAACTTTCCACTGGAACTTACCTGGCAGGAAATCTGATATCAGACCTTCCTTAACATTCTCTCCCATAACCATATGAATACTGAACAAAGATTCACTTCTCACAAGGAATATTTAAATAATTATAAATAGCAGGAAATACTCGTTTGTGACTGGTTCTACTGCAGGTCTCCATGAAGTGTATTTAAATGCAAATTAGGAAGACAAGGCTGATGTAATAACATTAAACTAGACGCATAACTGCCTGAACTCGGGCTTACTTAGGGTGCGTTTAAATTAAAAATTTTTGTGGCGATTTTCAAAATTTAATTAATTTTGTCTTATCCTTCTAAATAAAAATCTGCCAAGTCCATCTCGGTGCCCTTAATAAAACTTTAGATGTCAATTCTTTACCATTGGTAGCAATTTGTTACTTGTGCACTTGTATTACAATGTAAGCCAATGCTCATTTAAAGGGTCTTCCACTTCTTCTTCATTTTGGACTTCCATGTTGTTACTAAGAGTATTGTTTGCAAGACTATTTACTCCTACATTTACAGAATTATCAGAATTTTCACTATTTACTGCATTTTCATAATTATGTATTTTTTTCTAAATTGTTTTGAGGAGAGTTTATCGGTAATGAGTTTGTGTGATCAATCGATCTCTTCATCATTCATTATACTTGTCAGTTCTGTGCTAATATTTGTGAAATCAATCTGTATGTCTTTGTAAAGGATATTATTGGCTTTTAACCAATTTAGTGCTGTCATTACGAATTCTGGTCTAACTGCTTCAAAATAAACATGACCTCTAAACTGAATTTTTCTTTTCAATTTCAAAAGAATAATACCAGATCTTTCAGGGGGATGAGGCAATATGTTATATGTTTGATCACAGTCAACTGGTACATTACAGATTGCTCCTTTAATCTTTCTTTGTTGTCCCTTGGGCATCACTACTATTTTTTCAAATACAATCTGCTGTGCTATTATAATTTGTTCTAGTTTTTTAAGACTTTCAAGTTCAGTTGGTACATCATCAACACATCAATTGTTTACAGTTGCTTGACATGGAACCTTTCCTTGAATAGCTTTTGAGTGACGTGTTACAGATATAAATTTTTCCATCAAATGATATTTGCACATTAAAAAGATGTTGAGAAGGGTAGCTATTTGAGATCAATTGTAATGCAGATTTCTTATAGAGCATCCTATTGCACACACAACATATACAATATGGACCTTCCTTAATTTTCTTTTTAAAAGTATCAATGCATGAATCCATGCTTTTACTTTTATTACCACAGTATTTTTGTTTCTGTTTCTGAAGTAATTCTTCTTTCTTTGCTGCATCCATAGTTTTGTATTTTTCTGCTTGTTTGTTTAACAGGTCTTGTTTCTTTGCTGCATCCATAGTTTTGTATTTTTCCACTTGTTTGTTTAATAGGTCTTGTTTCTTTGCTGCATCCATAGTTTCATATTTTTCTGCTTTTTTG